GGGGGGGGGTCCAGGCATCCTGCAGCCCCACTGGGACTGTGGCTGTCCTGGGGGTGTAAGTCCGGCATGGCCCAGCCTGGCCCCCCCCGGGGGTCCCCAGCCCCAGGCTGGGGGGTTTGGGTCGGTGCTCCCCTGGGACCCCACCCGGGGGGGGCTGGAAGGGCCCCACGGGGCTCTGTGGGGTGGGGGGTCCCACAGCGTCAGCCCAGGGACTGGGGCAGGTGGGGACCCCAGGGGGATGTCTCATGGGGGGGTCTCATGCAGGTGGCAGGGTCCCCTGGGGTATGGAGGGATCTGGGGACCCCACTGGGGGGGGGGGCTATGGGATGGGACCAGTGGGATGTGTGGGGGTCCCTTAGGGGAGCTGTGGGGGTCTCGCGGGAACAGAGGGTGGGGTCTGTCGGTGGGATGTGGGTGTCCTCATGGGGTGCTTGTGCCCCACAGAGTCCCCAGAGGTGTCCCCACGGGGGGTTCAGGGGCTCCCCGCGGGGGCCCTATGTGTCCGTGGGTGATCCCCTGGGGTCCGTGGGGGGGGGCGCCGAGGCCCTATAGGACCCCCACGGGGATGTTGCTGGGGGTCAGCGGGGGTGCCATGAGGGGAGGTGGGGGTCCCCTGGGTCTGCGGGGATCCCCGCGGGACTACGGAGCTCCCGCGGGGGTCGGTGCGGCTCCGCGGGGACCCGGCGGGCGGCCCCTCCGCTGCGCGTTCCTCCCGCCAGCAGGTGGCGCAATGCGACCCGCCCGGAGCAGACGAGGGTGAGCGGCCGGAAACGCTGCATCACGTGGTAGTACCCGGAAGCGGCGGGCGAGCGGCGGGACCGGGGGCAATGAGCGGCGGGGCCGAGGAGGAGGCGGCGGCGGTGGCGGCGGCTGGGGCTGAGGCTGAGGCCGAGCGGCGGGTCCGCATCGTGGTGGAGTATTGGTGAGCGTCAACGCCGGGCCCGGGCTCCTTCCCTCGGGGTCGTGGCGGCGGCGCCGGGGGCGAAGAACCGGGGGGACGACGACGAGGGGCCTTCGGGGGTGTGAGGGACCCGGAGG